TGTTGCTCAGCCCTCACAAGCGCATGAAGCAAGGTGACAAGCTTGGTAAAAAAACCCAGACCTACATGTACCTGGGACACAACTTCAACTCTCCAAATACTTATTCCTCAACCCTATCACCAGACAGCTAATTCTCAGCCATGATTTCGTCTTCGATCTCTACGACCACGGGCATGCCTCATCCACCTCCCCCGACATTGTATGGGTAGGCTTCGATGCCTCATCTCCGGCCGCTGCCCTTTCTCCGGAGCCTTCTTTAGGCGTCTCTCACCCGGCCTCTCCGGTATCCTCTGCAACGGTACCTCCTCCTGCTCCGCCTTCCCCGTGCGTCGAGCCCGGCTCACCAATCTCCTATAGGAGGCTGTTAGAGATAGGCTGCAATTCGGTTGGCACAATTTTGTGTGTTGACACTTTCTTGGTTTTAGGGATACTCATATTTGTTAGGTTGGGTGTAGCTATGTTTTCATCCCCAACCTATCCCAACCCAATCCATCCCAAATCCCCACGATTTGGGAGGATTCCCTTGGGATTCCCTCCGATTCTCCCTTATCCCTTCCCATCCTCTCCGATGCTCGGTACTTAAGGATGTATGCTCTTGCTCATTTCAATCAATCAAGTTCTCAGTTTCTGAATGGTATCAGAGCTCGTTTCCGCCTAAGCGGCTCTTGATCCTCTCGCTCCGTTGGAGCCTAGCATTTGCGTCTTACGACGCAAAGCTTTTCTAGTCGCCTCAACTCAGCGCGGCGCTTCTTTTCGGGCTGAAGCCCGTCGCCCCGCATCTGCTCGTCACACCTGATCGGGCTGAGCCCGTCGCCCCGCATCTGCTCGTCGCACCTGATCGGGCTGAGCCCGTCGCCCCGCATCTGCTCGTCGCACCTGATCGGGCTGAGCCCGTCGCCCCGCATCTGCTCGTCGCACCTGATCGGGCTGAGCCCGTCGCCCTGCATCTGCTCGTCGCACCTGATCGGGCTGAGCCCGTCGCCCCGCATCTGCTCGTCGAAGCTGGACGGGCTGTCGCCCGTCGCCCTTGCAACAGCGGGGGGGTGCAGCGGCGAAGCGGAAAGGGGGCAGCGGCGAAGCGGAAAAGGGGGGGTCGCGGAGCAGCGGGATTGCAGCAGCACATCGCGGGTTTCCATAGATTTTTGGCGTTCAGATTTCCCTCTTTATCGGCTATTCCTCTTCTCCGAGTGTTGAAAATCGCCGAAGTGCCTATCGGCGACTTAAGAGCTGCGCTACGCGCGGAGAAAGGGTCCTTGGAGCATCATGGCGTATCCTTCCGCGTCTCTCTCAAACCCGATCACTCCCTTGCGCCTCGACCCAAATGGCTCGAGCCCGAACTTCAAGGAGTGGAGCTATGGGGTTGATAAGCATCTCCTAAGCCGCAAAATTGAGGGGATTTGCCTCAAGGATGTCCTCCTCAATCGCGGCAAAGGAAAGATGCCGATCCTTCCCAAGAAGCTCTCGGCCACAGCCACAGGGGAAGAGTTAAAAACCCATGAGGAATCCATGTCCAAGTATGAGGAATCTTACAGCGTGTGGGAGCAAGCCGACGCCGCTATCATTGGCGTCTTCGTCGGCACTACCCCTTCCGAGCTCGTCAAAACTTACCATAACTACCCCTCCGCGCACGCCATCTGGGAGTACCTCAACGACCGCTTCCTCAACAAAACCGCTGTGGGGGTGGCGATCCTCATCCCCCGCATGTTTCAAGTGCGTCTGGAGGAGTGCCCTGGAATGGCAGATTACGTCGCTGAAATTCAAGGGATTCATCAGGAGCTGAAGCAACTCGGCATTGTCTTCCCAGAGCAAGCCCCTGCAGCAGCTCTGCTTGTTGGGCTGACCCCCTCTTACAATGTCACCCGCTCCATGCTTCTCCATCTCCCGCCAGAAGAGCTAACCTTTGCCAAAGTCTCTTCCGCACTTCTCTCTGCTGAAAAAGACAACACTGCGCAGGCTCGTGCAAATGCGCTTCGCGCTCCTGTCCCGGCTCCAGCATCGCGTCCCCAATCCGCCACCCACTCGTAACCGCTACCCACCCTGTCCTTACGTCATCAAAATGGGACCCCGTGCGGGTCAGGTGTGCGGCGGCACCAATCACCCGCTCGCCACCTGTTTCAAAAAGAAGGACGACGACTGGTTCGCCAAGAATGGTATCAACTCCAAGCCGCCCAACTGGCTTCGCATGCGCCAGCTCAACCAGGTTGAGGCACAGGATAGTCAGGACTCAGCCGTTCATGCCCCTAGTCCTGATGTTCGTCTCAACCTGTTGTTCCCTGGCCTTCCCATGATCAATGAAACCAGTTCCCAGTACTCGACGTCTCCACAAACACCATCTAAACCGCTTGAATTCGTCCTGGACAGTGGCGCAACCCACACAGTCCTCCGAGACAAAGAGTCTTTCAAACCATACCAAGCACCCATTCCTCTTCTGGGCGCTGACTCCAGCTTCACAACTGTCGCCCATGGTTCCTCCACTCTTCCATGCCCAGCCTTCCCATCTGGCACAGTCACTGGCATATGCGTGCCCACTCTTCGGCACAATTACTTGCACAACATGAGATTCAACGAGCAGGGGTAACCACTATCTTCCCAGCTCATTCCAATCACTGTGATCTCCTTCAGCCCACCACCAATGCCCTACTTGCACGCTTCACACTGACCGCCAACAACCTCTACACACTCCAAGTACCTCCATCTTCCACAGAAGCACACTCTACCTCCACCACATCATCGTGCTCCTGCCGTCAGCTCACCGATCCAACCATTCTTTACCACCATCGTCTTGGGCATCCCAACTTCCGCATGCTCTCCGAGCTTGCGTCTAAGAAGTTGCTTCTTCACCTGCCCGACACACTTCCTCCACCCTCCACTTCTCCCGCTCCTCCATGCTTGGACTGCGCGCAAAGCAAACTACGCCAGTTGCCTCACCCTTCCTCGCCCTCTGCTGCAGCCGCCCCGCTTGACCTCGTCCACATGGACGTCTGGGGCCCAGCTCCAGTCCGCTCTCGTGGCGGGCACTCTTACTTCCTAGTGCTCGTTGACGATCACTCTCGCTATGCCTCCGTCCACCTCCTCTCCTCCAAAGCAGCTGTTCCAGATGTCGTCATCGCATGGCTTCGACAAGCCCAAAATCATTTCCGCACTTCAGTCAAGTGCCTCCATTCCGATGGCGGTGGCGAATTTCGAAACCATTCCCTTCAAGCGTTCTGTGCCTCCCAAGGCATTCGCCAGACCTTCACCCTTCCCCACAGTCCGCAGCAGAATGGCATTGCCGAAAGTCGCAATCGCACTCTCGTGCAAATCGCTCGCTGTCTTCTCACTCACGCTGGTGCACCACCTTCCCTTTGGGGTTACGCCCTCCTTCATGCCACGCTGCTGTACAACCTTCACCCTCACCCTCTTCGGCCTGCCATCACTCCCGCTGAACTGTGGACCGGCACCAAGCCCAGTGCACGTCCTCTCCGCGTATGGGGGTGTACAGCTTATGTCCTCCTCAACCCTCAGGAACGTCGCACCCACGGCGGCAAAATTTGCACCCAAAGCTCAACCCTGTGTCTACCTCGGCCAAACCTGGACTCTCCCGATTACCTTTTCCTCAATCTCTCCACCAATCAGCTCATTCGTAGCCGCGATGTCGCCTTTGACGAGAGTCGCCCTTTTTACCTCTCTTCACCACCCCCCACCGCTCCCACCTTCGCTTGTGTGGGGCTGATTTCGATACTTCACCCACCCCACCTCCTCCCTCTGCCGCTCCTGCGGCCCCCTCACTCTCACCTTCCCCATCTCCTTCCACTCTCTCTCACCCCTCTTCGCCCACTGGCTCAGTTGCCCGTTCACCTCCGCCCCGCGCCTGCACTTCCCCCTGCACCTGCTCCTGCAGCTGCCCCTCCACCTCCCTCTCCTTCTGTGGCTCCCCCTGCCCCCGCGCCTCCCTCCCCGCCTTCACCTCCGCTTCCGCCTCCAACCTCCACCTCTCCTCCCGACTCGCCCATCACCTATCGTCGCCGTCGCCACGGACGCTCTTATGTCGATGTCCCACCTGCTCCCCCGCCACCTCCCTCCTCTCCTGTCCCTATTGCTCACCGCACCCGCTCTCATGGTCCCGCTCCGCCTCTCGCCCTCTCTGTTCGCATCTCCCTCAATCCGCCTCCTCCTGCCGGGGGTGCATCCATGCCTGGCCTCTTGGAGGATAGGCATGAGGAGCTGATTGAGATCAATGCTGCCATCCGTCAGCTCTGCCATCTCTTCCCCGACCTTGCCGACGCTCCAACTCTTAACTTCTCGGAAAATCCATCCATCCCGACCCCGAACTCATATGATGAAGCCATCTCTGGACCACACTCCCCCCAGTGGCTCGCAGCCATGATCGCGGAGTGTGAAGCATTCATTCGCAACAACTCTTTCACGGACGTCTCCCCTCCGCGAGGAGTTAACATTGTCCGTGGCAAATGGGTTTTTCGCGTCAAGCAACTGCCTGGCGAACTCCCAGTCTTCAAGGCGCCGATACTGTGCAAAAGGCTTCACGCAGAAGAAGGGCCTGGACTTCTTCGACACATTCTCTCCGACAGCCAAACTGCCCACACTTCGGACCCTGCTGGGACATCGCTGCTCGATGCAACTTTGACGTTCACTCCATGGACGTCTCTGCTGCATTTCTCCAAGGGGATCTCCCCGAGGACATCTACATGGAACGTCCTCAAGGATTTCCCTTACCCTTTCCACCCGGCACGGTCTGGAAGCTGAATCGACCAGTCTACGGGTTTGAAGCAGGCTCCTCGGGAATGGCACAAGAAGCTGAAGGGCAACCCTCGAGTCACTCGACTTCCACCCCTCCTCAGCCGATCCGAGTCTCTTCATTCGCAAGAACGACAACCCGTTCTTCATCCTTGTCTACGTTGACGACATGATTCTCGTCTCCAAGGACTCCGATCAGCTGGCAGCTGTTAAGCAAGCTCTTGGGGACGCTCTCGCCATGAAGGACCTCGGTGAACTCAAGAACTACCTTGGGATGGAAATCTCGCGGGATCGCGAAGCTCGAACCATCACTCTCTCTCAAGAGTTCTATGTGAACAACGTCCTCAAGCGTTTTGCCATGGACAACGCCAAGCCAGTGGCCACTCCCCTTCCCTTGCAGCATGATCTGACCACTCCATCAGTTCCATCGCCTGAGCCTTGTGATGAGGCATACCCCGAGCTCGTCGGATCACTCATGTATGCGATGATGTGCACAAGGCCCGACCTCGCCTACCCCATCAGTGTGCTCTCGCGTTACGTTGCTGCCGGTCGATACACCAATCGCCACTGGTCGGCTGCTAAGCGCGTCCTTCGCTACCTCCAAGCCACCAAGGACTACGTCCTCACTCTCGGTGGCACGACCCCTCCTCACCTCGAGGGATACAGCGACTCCTCATGGGGCTGATGATCAAGCTGACCGCCGCTCTTCCCAAGGCTATTGCTTCACCCTTGGCAGTGGTGTCATCAGCTGGCGATCTACACGCTCATCATCCGTCTCATTGTCATCTTGCGAAGCTGAGTTATACGCAGGCACCATGGCAGCCCAAGAAGCTCGATGGCTTACCTACCTCATGGCTGAGCTCGGGTATCCTCAGCAGACCCCGACTCTGTGGTGTGATAACGAGAGCACTATCCACCTCACCAAAGATCCTGTCTTCCACCAACGAACCAAGCACATCGAATTGAGACACTTCTTCATGCGCGAGCTCGTCCAGCGAGGGCAGTTGTGCGTCAAGCATATTTCCTCTGACTGCAACCTCGCCGACTTGTTTACGAAGGCTCTTGGACGCCGTGATCACTATCGTCTCCTCCGTACCATGGGACTTGGCGTCCCTACGGCTTCCGACGTTGCAGCCTAGGGGGTGTGTTAGAGATAGGCTGCAATTCGGTTGGCACAATTTTGTGTGTTGACACTTTCTTGGTTTTAGGGATACTCATATTTGTTAGGTTGGGTGTAGCTATGTTTTCATCCCCAACCTATCCCAACCCAATCCATCCCAAATCCCCACGATTTGGGAGGATTCCCTTGGGATTCCCTCCGATTCTCCCTTATCCCTTCCCATCCTCTCCGATGCTCGGTACTTAAGGATGTATGCTCTTGCTCATTTCAATCAATCAAGTTCTCAGTTTCTGAAAGAGGCGCCCTGTCCCTCTGGTCCCACCACAGCCGCCTTCGTCTCCGGTCTCTAGTCGCACTCGTTCCAAGGGATCGGCTCCGCCTCTCGCCTGGGGACCAACCGCCTTCTCCATCCGGTGTTCGGTCACCCGCCTCCTCCTGCCGGGGGTGATGTCCCCTCCATCCCTAATCCCCTCTGTGCACTTCTGGAGGACAGGCATGAGGAGTTGTTTAACCTTCACACGTTCTGCCAATTTCTCTCTCACATCTTCCTGGACATTACTAACTGCCCTTCCTTCAACTTCACGGAGAACCCGACAGTTCCGACTCCTGGCACAAAAGAGGAAGCTCTCTAGGGGCCTTATAAGGAGTGGAAGGCAGCAATGGATGGGGAGAACGAGGCGTTCATTCGCAACAATAGGTTTGACGATGTCGTTCCCCCTTCCGGTGTTAACATCGTCGGCGGAAAATGGATCTTTCGAGTCAAACAACTCCCAGGTGAAGCTCCACTGTTCAAGGCACGATACGTGGCTAAGGGTTTCACCCAGAAAGAGTATCTCGACTTCTTCGAAATCTTCTCGCCCACGGCCAAGCTCCCAACTCCGCGCGCTCTTTTACATGGACTCCAGTAACTCTGTCTCCACTCCACTCCCACTACAGCATCAGCTCACGGCCCCTCCAGTTCCTTCTCCTGACGCCTGCAAGGACCCGTACCCAGAGCTAGTCGGTTCACTCATGTATGCCATGATGTGCATTCGACCAGGCTTGGCTTACCCGGTTAGTGTTCTCTCTCGGTATATCTCCCCGGACGCTACACTGCCTCCCATTGGTCTGCAGCCAAGAGGGTCCTTCGCTATCTACAAGCCACCAAATCTCACATCCTCACTCTCGGTGGTACCTCTCTAGTCAAGCTCGAAGGATACACAGACTCCTCATGGGCCAATGACCAGACTGACAGACGCTCCTTCCAAGGGTACTGCTTCACTCTTGGTAGCGGAGTTATCAGCTTGCCCTCTACTCGATCCTCTACAGTCTCCCTGTCGTTCTGCGAGGCCGAGCTCTACGCAGGCACAATGACTGCTCAAGAGGCACGCTGGCTCTCCTTTCTCCTCGCTGAGTTAGGCTACCCCCAGCAGTCGCCCACCCTGTGGTGTGACAACCAGAGCGCCATTCATCTCACCAAGGATCCTGTGTTCCACTCTCACACCAAGCACATTGAACTTCGTCATTTCTTCATCCGAGATCTTGTTCAGAGTGACCAGCTGACGGTACGGTACATCGCCCCAGATTGCAACATCGTCGACCTCTTTACCAAGGCTCTCGACAAGGCTGACCACCATCGCCTTCTCCGTTCCATGGGGCTATGTGCTCCTTGACCGGATTTGCAGTTCGTGGGGGTGTGTTAAAAATAGATTGCAAATCCCATTTTTGTATTTGTACTTTTATATACTAGTTTATGTTAAGAATGTTCTAGTGGGTTGGGGTGTACTCACAAAATCCCAACCTCACACAATTGTGACCCCCTCAATCTCCAATTACCCGATTGGAGATTCTGGAGATCCCAGTGGGGATTCTCTCCGATTCCCCCTTCATCCATTCTCTCTCAGCTTGCCATGTACTTATAGAGCTTTGGAGTCCTTACCTAATCAATCCTTTCAGCTCTACTTCTTACACCTTCTTCCGCATCTTCTATGCTCCCCTTCCCCCCTCCACTTTCGCAATGGCCCCACCATTCATTCCTTCCAGTATGCCTCTGGTGTGCGCCAAGGGGACCCCTGTGGTCCCGTCTTGTACGCCCTCACGCAGCAACATGCCATCCTCTCTACCCAGCAGCAATTCCCTTCCATTTTCATCACCTGTTACGCCGACGACACTTTCCTCGTCAGTCCACCCTCAATTATTTCGACGGCTTTCATGGCACTTACGAACCGCCTTTGCTCGTTAGGCCTTGCTGTCCAGCCTTCGAAGTGTTCCGTATGGTGCCCTCTGCATCTTCCAACAGATTGTGCCCTCCCTCTTGGAGTTCCATTCGCCCCAAATGGCATGAGCGTCGCTAGGTTTCCAATTAGTTCCAACGGCCACATCATCTCGGAGGTCCGTGATAAGCTCAACTCATTCATATCCTCCTGTCCCCTTCTTCACCAGCTTGAGAACCCCCAGATTGCCTCTCGCATCCTTTCTCATTGCATCTCAGCCCGTCCCTCCTTCCTTCTTTGAATAGTCTCTCCATTCCCCGATATTCACAGCCTTTTTGCTGCTTGGGATTCTGCCCTTTTGGATTACTTCACCCAACGTTTTGGCCCCAGTTACTGGATTCAACTGACGGTGCAGACCAAAACCGCCCATCAGCAAGCCTTCCTCCCCATTCGTTTGGGCGGTTTCGGTCTTCGTCCCTCGCCCTCACCGCTCCACTCAGCTACCTTTGCACCTGGGCTCAATCACTACCACTGCTCTCCTCTCACTTCATCACTGACGGTGTGCCGCTTTTCACCCCCTTCCTCTCCTCCGACACTATTCATCGTCTTGATGAATTCATCCCCTCCGCCATGTCCATGCTTCCTCAAGAAGTTCGCGATCGTTTCCCCTCTTGGTCCCACCTTCAGTTAGGCTATCATCCCAAGCTCTTCACTCACCTTTCTCATCAGCTAGATACCGCCCAGCTTGAGAAGGTGCGCGCTACGGCTTCTTCCCCGCTCCGCTTGGCTCGACTAACCTCCCTTCAGGGCCCGCATGCCGGGGACTGGCTTATGGTGGCACCCTCCTCCTCGCATATGCAAATGACAGAATCCGAGTGGCATATTGCTGCTGCAGTCCGCCTCGGCCTCCCCATTCCTCACCTCACCACTGCCGCAACCTGCACGTGTGGCTCTCCGTTCTCTAACCCTTCTATCCATTCCCACCCTCTCCGCTGCCCAAGGTACATGTTGTCATCAAACATGAGGTACATCGTATCACCCTGGAGCTGGGCTTCGTTGCGCAGCTGGAAGACCAGCATTTCCTTCCGGGGCAGCGCCTGATGTCAGCTGCCGAGACGTTCAATCGGGTACAACCTTGGCTTTGAAGATCTCTGTGACTGACCCCAACAGAGGTTCCCCCACTCCAACGCCGCCAAGGTCATTGGTTCGACCGCCTCCAAACTGAGAAGACCACTCTCTACGCCTCGTCGCTGCGCACCCGCCCGAATGTCAAACTTCTTCCCGTGGTCCTTGAGACTTTTGGGTGCATTGGAAAGTCCTTCCAAGACTTCCTCAAAGACTGCAGTCATCATGGTGCTTACTGTCTTCGCGATTTCAGCGGCTCTTCCCATCTTTTGCTCCACATGTTTGAAACCAACTTCTTCTACAAGCGCATTTCGCTCGTCCATCAGTGCGAGCAGGCCCGCACAATTTGTAGGCGTGCGCAGGTCCGTTTCTCTGACGGCACCAACGCAGCCTCGTGCAAGGTTGCCCCTCTATCGGTAGCAGATTTTGCATACTTGGGGAATGACTTCTGGAAAGGTTGCTAGAACACCTTTTAGTTCTCCGCTGCATGGTGTCTAGTTCAACAATCCCTAACTAGGAACTCTTGTACATATATACATTGTCAATAAAATGGCAAATACAAACAGTGTGGCACATCTACGTTGGAATAAAAGCGTTTGGCGTTTTAAACGCTAGCGTTGAAACGCAAACTGCTTAGCCAGGAGGGGAGCAAACGCTAGGAAAACGCTGGCTCGGGCACGGTTAAAAAAGTTTCGGGCAGGGCAAAAAAAGGGCTTCTGGGGGGGGGGGGAAGGGGAAAGGAAAGGAAGGGCGGGAAGGGCACCTTCATCCACCGCCCCCATTAATAAAATATTAGAAGTTTCGGGGTACATTCACAAGCCAACCTAACATCCATCCATCACATCACACACACCTACCCCCTCTCCCATGCAACACAACCAGGATGCATCTTCCCTACAACCAGCCGCTGCGAGTACTCCACTTCATGCTGTGCAACACCATGCTGCGGGCAAACCCTAACACCAGCCTCCCGTGCCCCCTCAGTTGTGCGCAATGTAAACCAAATCCTTCAGCTTCTCCGAGCCGAGCTTGTTGCGCCAAGCAGTGTGGACCGAATCCCACACTGCCCAGTTGCGCTCGCATGCAGAAGCAGACACCGGCTGAGTGAGGACACGGCAAGCAAGCTTGGCCAACTCCGGGCAGTCGGTGCCGTGCCAGGTCCACCAATGCACCATGCAACCCTTCCCCTCCTTCACGGCCAAGCGATCTCTAATGGCATCAGGCATGCCAAAGCTGCCCTCGAGTTTCAGGAAGGACATGAGTCCCTCCTGCAAGACGAGGGTGGCGCGCCTCTCACCCACATCCTTCCTGGTAATGGTCTGTCCCTCGTAGTGGCGGGAGATGAAGTCTTTGAAGACTTTGGTGCACTCCACATCATCCGGGAAGATCTCTTCCACCTGGTTGCCCGGATTAAGGATCCGACCAACCACGTGGAGGGGGCAAGGAAGGCTGCCATCCCAGCGCGTCTTGACAAACTTGTTAATCTCCCTTTCCTCCCCCCTCGTCAGCAGTTCCTGCCCATCCTCCCCCTCAAGCAGCTGCTTCACATCCACAGTCAGCTGTAGCATGTGATCATAGAATCTGCCCATCATCCCTTTCGCCGTGGAATCAGTTGCTCGCATCGCCATGAATGGCAACTTCATCAGCTTCACAAAGAAGGCAGCCGCCTTCCACCAAATCTTGTCCTCGAGGTGGGCTTGGAAGGCTTCCCCTGCACTCCTCCGCACCCCCGTTGCCCACAACTCCCACCCCTCACTGTGCACCATCTGTAGCAGCGACAGTTTGACCTCACAAAGCCGAGACAATGCGATAAATTGTGTACCGAACCTCGTTCCGCCCGGACGCACCACCTGCAAGTAGGGTTGAGCAAACTACCTGACCGGGTCGGGTACCCGGTACCCGGACCCGCTTTTAGGGCGGGTCGGGTATCAGAAATCCTGAAAATTACCCGGCGGGTCGGGTCCGGGTTACCCGGGCCGGGTATCAATACCCGCTACCCGAAATGTTACCCGACGTGTCGGGTAACGGGTACCCGACCCGGTCGGGTAAAAAAATACCCGAGGTCGGGTATTCCACCTAGACATGGGCGTAAGTCGCGCTGTGTTTTAGGTTTTGGGGCAAAACGGTTTTGGAGGTGAGAGGGGACGAGTGGAGCATTTGTGAGATGTTGGAGTTTGTAGATGGGGAGGAGTTAACTGCGGTGAAAGGGAGGGAGTTGGGTGGGAGTTGGAGAAAAGGTTGGAGTTTGTAGATGGGTAGGAGTTCAGTGCGGTGAAAGGGAGGGAGTTGGGTGGGAGTTGGAGAAGAGGTTGGAGTTTGTAGATGGGTAGGAGTTCAGTGCGGTGAAAGGGAGGGAGTTGGGTGGGTTGTTAAAGAAGAGGTTGGAGTTTGTAGATGGGTAGGAGTGCAGTGCGGTGAAAGGGAGGGAGTTGGGTGGGAGTTGGAGAAGAGGTTGGAGTTTGTAGATGGGTAGGAGTTCAGTGCGGTGAAAGGGAGGGAGTTTTGTTAGAAAGGTTGGAGTTTGTAGACAGGGAGGAGTTCAGTGCGGTGAATGGGAGGGAGTTTGGTTGGAAATTGGAGTTTGTAGACGGGGAGGAGTTCAGTGCGGTGAAAGGGAGGGAGTTGGGTGGTCAAAATTCGACCCCCAGAAAACGCGACTCTCATTTGAGAGTCGCGTTTTCAGGAACCCTACCTAGCCTAGCCCAACTTTAGGATGCCCACTAGTAGGTGGCGGGTAGTATTACCCGCTTTTCAGGGTAACCGGGTCGGGTATACCCGGACCCGCCAGGCGGGTATTGTATTACCCATCCCCTTAAGGCCGGGTCCGGGTAAGGGTCCTGGGCATATTACCCGACCCGGACCCGAAATTACCCGACCCGAGGTCGGGTATTGCAAAACCGGGTCGGGTCGGGTAATTACCCGGTTTTGCTCAAGCCTACCTGCAAGCCCTTTCCGCCATGCACCTCTGGACTCCTCAAGAATCCACGCGTCCAGTGATGTTTCCGAATGTAAGCGATGATTCCGCCGCCCCGCTCGACCACCCCCTTGGCCCAAGCCATCTTACCCACATCCTCCATGAGGAGGTCGAGCACGAGCGTGGCGCACGGCACATGCTCGGTGTGGGGCCACTCATTGAAGATCTCCTTGTAGGCGGCAGCGTAGTTGCAGCACCCATCCATGTAGAGAGCAACTATGTTCTCCGCTCTGACTTTCTCCGCTATCGGCCTCAGGATACTAGGGATGTACTCACCTGTTTTTTTTTTCCATCTTGCAATCCGCGCTTTCCATAAAGACGGCGCCACTGTCGTTGATCATCAAGTCGTTGGCCTGCGGACGACCGCATCTGTCGGTCATCATGTCTGAGGCTACCGTCACTCCATGAACCCAGCTGGCCACCACCGGTCCCAGCACCATCTCAATCCGCACGCGGCATTGCTACAAGCCAGCGCCGCCGACGTTCTTGCGCTTAGGGGGGACATAGCCACTTCCTGCGAGGCCGATGCACTCCACAGCGCCAGAGAGGGTGGTCCGCGAGGTACTCCGGGAGGCGAAGGCCCGCGAACATGAGGCAGATTGCCTCGTCCGCAGCCTTCTTCGCATCTGCCTTCTCGTCGCCAAAGAAGTCGGTTATGCGACTGCGCTTATGGCCGCTAACGGCTTCAATGGAGGCTGCCTCGGCGGAGCGGATGTCTTCGGCTTCCTGAAGCCTAGCCTCGTAGTGAGCGCGGACCTCTTCAGCCACCTCCTTTGTTACCGCAGTGCAGAGTTTCACCTCACGTCGGCTCCCCCCCATCCAATTCGTGAGATGCTGAGCCAAACGCCCCACGGATCCGCTAAACTTGTGCGTGCAAAACTTGCAGACGTACTGCTTACCGCGCGCGCTAGAAACTAAGGGCACTCTGAAGTGCTGGTAAACTATGTGCGTGCGATCTTCCTTAACTTGGGGAGAACTTGAGGCCTCACCTGAGGCAACATTAGCGTTGGTCGCCATTGAAGTAGGAGTTACGCCAGCGTCAACCATAGCTTAGCATAAAAGAAATAAGGAGCTGGAAAAAACGAAACACGCTGAGATCTAGGGAAATGACGTGAGGAGTGAGATCCCGATCTGGGTTTAGCACGCTGGTTGGAGTCTACGATACCTCTCTCTTGAAGAGAGGGTTTGTAGAGAAGTGGTTGGGTTGACTAGATAATTTGTGGTCTAGTGCGGTTGGGTGTTTTTCGGGGGTTGGGAGTTGGGAAGACATCTTGAGATTGCGAGGTGGCGAGTCATTCCGTTTTTCCCAGCACGTCGCACAAACTGGTTTCGAAATTTCGAAAATTTCGATTTTTTTTTCGAGGGCAGCCCACTCTTGCGTTTGCGTGTTTGCCTAGGGTTTGGGCGTTACAATAGCGTTCGAACGCAAAACGCTTGCATGTTCGAGCGTTTTTCCCAACGCAGTGGCACATACCAAAAGAGGCACATACCGATAGAGGCACATACCGATAGAGGCACACACCAACAGAGGCACATACCGATAGAGGCACACATCGATAGAGGCACATCCCGATAGAGGCACATGGCGATAGAGGCACATACCGATAGAGGCACAAACCAATAGAGGCACATACCAATAGAGGCAAATACAGACAGTGTGGCACATACCAATAGAGGCACATACCGATAGAGACACATACCGATAGAGGCACATACCCATAGAGGCACATACCGATAAAGGCACATACCAACAGAGGCACATATCGATAAAGGCACATACGGATAGAGGCCCATACCGATAGAGGCACATCCTGATAGAGGCACATACCAATAGAGGCACATACCAATAGAGGAAAACACAGAGAGTGTGGCACATACCGATAGAGGAAAACACAGACAGTGTGGCACATACCGATAGAGGCACATACCGATAAAGGCACATACGGATAGTGGCACACCCGATAGAGCCACATACCAATAGAGGAAAATACGGACAGTGTGGCACATACCGATAGAGGCACATGCGGATAGAGGAACACGTTGATAGAGGCACATACCGATAGAGGCAAATACAGACAGTGTGGCACATACCAATAGAGGCACATACCGATAGAGACACATACCAATAGAGGCACATACCGATAGAGGCACATACCGATAGAGGCACATACCGATAGAGGCACATACCAATAGAGAAAAATACAGAAAGTGTGGCACATACCAATAGAGGCACGTACCGATAGAGACACATACGGATGGAGGCACACACCGATAGAGGCACATACCGATAGAGGCACATACCGATAGAGGCACATACCAATAGAGGAAAATAAAGACAGTGTGGCACATACTGATAGAGGCACATACAGAGAAAGGCACATACGGATAGAGGCACACAACGATAGAGCCACATACCGATACAGGCACATACGAATAAAGGCACATACCAATAGAGGCACATACCAATAGAGCCACATACCGATAGAGGCACATACCGATAGAGGCACATACCAATAGAGGAAAATACGAACAGTGTGGCACATACCGATAGAGGCACATACCGATAGAGGCACATACCAATAGAGGAAAATACGAACAGTGTGGCACATACCGATAGAGGCACATATGGATAGAGGCAAATACAGACAGTGTGGCACATACCAATAGAGGCACATACCAATCGAGGCACATACCAATAGAGGCACATACCGATAGAGGCACATACCTATAGAGGCACATACCGATAGAGGCGCATACCGATAGAGGCACATACCGATAGAGGCACACACCGATAGAGGCACATACCAATAGAGGCACATACCAATAGACGTACATACCAACAAGAGGCAAATACAGACAGTGTGACACACACCAATAGAGGCACATACCGATAGAGGCACATACCGATAGAGGCACACATCGATAGATTCACACACCGATAGAGGCACACACCGATAAAGGCACATGCGGATAGAGGCACACACCGTTAGAGGCACACACCAATAGAGGCACATACCAATAAAGGAAAATACAGACAGTGTGGCACATACCGAGAGAGGCACATACCGATAGAGGCACATACAGATAGAGGCACATACAAATAGAGGCACATACATATAGAGGCACACATCGATAGAGGCACGTACCGATAGAGGCACATACCAATAGAGGAAAATACAGACAGTGTGGCACATACTAATAGAGGCACATACCGATAAAGGCACGTACGGATAGAGGCACACACCGATAGAGGCACACACCGATAGAGGCACATACCGATAGAGGCACACACCGATAGAGGCACATACCGATAGAGGCACACACCGATACAGGCACACACCAATAAAGACACATACTGATAGAGGCACGTACCAATAGAGGCACATACCAATAGAGGAAAATACAGAGAGTGTGGCACATACCGATAGAGGCACATACCGATAAAGGCACATACGGATAGAGGCACACACCGATAGAGGCACATACCGATAGAGGCACACACTGATAGAGGAAAATATAGACAGTGTGGCACATACCGATAGAGGCACACACCGATACAGGCACACACCAATAAAGGCACATACTGATAGAGGCACATACCAATAGAGGCACATACCAATAGAGGAAAATACAGAGAGTGTGGCATATACCGATAGAGGCACATACCGATAAAGGCACATACGGATAGAGGCACACACCGATAGAGGCACATACCGATAGAGGCACACACTGATAGAGGAAAATATAGACAGTGTGGCACACACAGATAGAGGCACATACCGATAGAGGCACATACCGATAGAGGCACACACCGATAGAGGCACATACCGATAGAGGCACATACCGATAGAGGCACATACCGATAGAGGCACATACCAATAGAGGCATGTACAGATAGAGGCACACACCGATAGACGCACATATTGATAGAGGCACATACCGATAGAGGCACATACCGATAGAGGCACACACCCATAGAGGCACACACCGATAGAGGCACACACCGATAGAGGCACACACCGCTAGAGGCACATACCGATAGAGGCACATACCGACAGAGGCAAATACAGACAGTGTGACACATGCCAATAGAGGCACATACCGATAGAGGCACATACCGATAGAGGCACATACCGATAGAGGCACACATCGATAGAGTCACACACCGATAGAGGCACACACGGATAAAGGCACATGCGGATAGAGGCACACACCGTTAGAGGCACATACCAATAGAGGAAAATACAGACAGTGTGGCACATACCGATAGAGGCACATACCAATAGAGGCACACACCGATAGAGGCACGTACCGATAGAGGCACATACCAATTGAGGAAAATACAGACAGTGTGGCACATACTGACAGAGGCACATACCGATAAAGGCACATACGGATAGAGGCAGACACCGATAGAGGCACACACCGATAGAGGCACACACCGATAGAGGCACACACCGATAGAGGCACACACCCATAGAGGCACACACCGATACAGGCACACACCGATAGAGGCACATACTGATAGAGGCACATACCAATAGAGGCACATACCAATAGAGGAAAATACAGAGAGTGTGGCACATACCGATAGAGGCACATACCGATAGAGGCACACACCGATAGAGGCACACACAGATAGAGGCACATACCGATACAGGCACATACCGATAGAGGCACACACCGATAGAGGCACATACCGATAGAGGCACATACCAATAGAGGCACACACCGATAGAGGCACACACCCATAGACGCACATATTGATGGAGGCACATACCGATAGAGGCACACACCCATAGAGGCACACACCGATAGAGGCACACACCGATAGAGGCACACACCGCTAGAGGCACATACCGATAGAGGCACATACCGATAGAGGAAAATACAGACAGTGTGGCACATACCGATAGAGGCACATACCGATAGAGGCACACACCGATAGAGGCACACACAGATAGAGGCACATACCGATAGAGGCACATACCGATAGAGGCACACACCGATAGAGGAAAATACAGACAGTGTGGCACATACCGATAGAGGCACATACCGATAGAGGCACACACCGATAGAGGCACACACAGATAGAGGCACATACCGATACAGGCACATACCGATAGAGGCACACACCGATAGAGGCACATACCGATAGAGGCACATACCAATAGAGGCACACCCCGATAGAGGCACACACCCATAGACGCACATATTGATAGAGCCACATACCGATAGAGGCACACACCCATAGAGGCACACACCGATAGAGGCACACAGCGATAGAGGCACACACCGCTAGAGGCACATACCGATAGAGGCACATACCGACAGAGGCAAATACAGACAGTGTGACACATACCAATAGAGGCACATATTGATAGAGGCACATACCGATAGAGGCACACATCGATAGAGTCACACACCGATAGAGGCACACACCGTTAGAGGCACACAGCAATAGAGGCACATACCAATAGAGGAAAATACAGACAGTGTGGCACATACCGATAGAGGCACATACCGATAGAGGCACATACAGATAGAGGCACATACCGATAGAGGCACATACAGATTGAGGCACACACCGATAGAGGCATGTACCGATAGAGGCACACACCGATACAGGCACACACCGATAGAGGCACATACTGATAGAGGCACATACCAATAGAGGCACATACCAATAGAGGAAAATACAGAGAGTGTGGCACATACCGATAGAGGCACATACCGATAAAGGCACATACGGATAGAGGCACACACCGATAGAGGCACATACCGATAGAGGCACATACCGATAGAGGAAAATACAGAGAGTGTGGCACATACCGATAGACGCACATACCGATAAAGGCACATACGGATAGAGGCACACACCGATAGAGGCACATACCGATAGAGGAAAATACAGACAGTGTGGCACATACCGATAGAGGCACACACCGATAGAGGCACACACAGATAGAGGCACATACCGATAGAGGCACATACCGATAGAGGCACACACCGATAGAGGCACATACCGATAGAGGCACATACCAATAGAGGCACACACCGATAGAGGCACACACCCATAGACGCACATATTGATAGAGGCACATACCGATAGAGGCACACACCCATAGAGGCACACACCGATAGAGGCACACACCGATAGAGGCACACACCGCTAGAGGCACATACCGATAGAGGCACATACCGATAGAGGAAAATACAGACCGTGTGGCACATACCGATAGAGGCACATACCGATAGAGGCACACACCGATAGAGGCACACACAGATAGAGGCACATACCGATAGAGGCACATACCGATAGAGGCACACACCGATAGAGGCACATACCGATAGAGGCACATACCAATAGAGGCACACACCGATAGAGGCACACACCCATAGACGCACATATTGATAGAGGCACATACCGATAGAGGCACACACCCATAGAGGCACACACCGCTAGAGGCACATACCGATAGAGGAAAAGACAGACAGTGTGGCACATACCGATAGAGGCACACACCGAGAGAGGCACACACAGATAGAGGCACATACCGATAGAGGCACATACCGATAGAGGCACACACCCATAGAGGCACATACCGATAGAGGCACATACCAATAGAGGCACACACCGATAGAGGCACACACCCATAGAGGCACATATTGATAGAGGCACCTACCGATAGAGGCACACACCCATAGAGGCACACACTGATAGAGGCACACACCGATAGAGGCACACACCGCTAGAGGCACATACCGATAGAGGCACATACCGATAGAGGCACACACCGATAGAGGCACATACCGATAGAGGCGCATACCGATAGAGGCACACACCGATAGAGGCACACACCGATAGAGGCACACACCGCTAGAGGCACATACCGATAGAGGCACATACCGATAGAGGAAAATACAGACCGTGTGGCACATACCGATAGAGGCACATACCGATAGAGGCACACACCGATAGAGGCACACACAGATAGAGGCACATACCGATAGAGGCACATACCGATAGAGGCACACACCGATAGAGGCACATACCGATAGAGGCACATACCAATAGAGGCACACACCGATAGAGGCACACACCCATAGACGCACATATTGATAGAGGCACATACCGATAGAGGCACACACCCATAGAGGCACACACCGCTAGAGGCACATACCGATAGAGGAAAAGACAGACAGTGTGGCACATACCGATAGAGGCACACACCGAGAGAGGCACACACAGATAGAGGCACATACCGATAGAGGCACATACCGATAGAGGCACACACCCATAGAGGCACATACCGATAGAGGCACATACCAATAGAGGCACACACCGATAGAGGCACACACCCATAGAGGCACATATTGATAGAGGCACCTACCGATAGAGGCACACACCCATAGAGGCACACACTGATAGAGGCACACACCGATAGAGGCACACACCGCTAGAGGCACATACCGATAGAGGCACATACCGATAGAGGCACACACCGATAGAGGCACATACCGATAGAGGCGCATACCGATAGAGGCACACATCGATAGAGGCACACACCGATAGAGGCACATAGTCCCTGCCTTCTTCCATCAGCGCTGCTCGCTCCTCCGCCGCTCTCAGCCCCCCTCCCCCCCCCCGTTGCCCCGCCACCGCTCCCCCCTCCCCCGCGTCCCCAGCCATCTCCTTGGCGCGCTTCTTGGCCGCCAGCAGCGCGAGCTTGTGTGCGCGCAGTCGCGCCAAGAGGTGCGCGCGGTCAGCGGGGGGAAGGGAGCGCGCCTCGAGATCCATCTGGCGAATCTGCGGGGGAAGGGGGAAGGTGGGGGAAGCGAGGGGGGGTGAGGGGCGCGAAGGCGGGAGGGAGATATTGGCGCAGGCAGAGGAGAGGCGCGTGAGGGCGACAGCAGGGCGGAGCGAGGGATGGCGCGATGGAGGGGGGAGGAAAGGACGGCGTGAAAGAGGGACGGCGTGGAAGAGGGACGGCGTGGAAGAGGGACGGCGTGGAAGAGGGACGGCGTGGAAGAGGGACGGCGTGGAAGAGGGACGGCGTGGAAGAGGGACGGCGTGGAAGAGGGACGGCGTGGAAGAGGGACGGCGTGGAAGAGGGACGGCGTGGAAGAGGGACGGCACGGCATGGGTGCGAGAGAAGGGCTGCGCGAGGCGACGTACGAGCGAGTCGGCGTCGTCCACGCGTCGCTTCAGCTCGTGCAGGCAGTGGCTCGACTGCCCTGCGCGGCCACGGCGCAACCCGCACAAGGAGAGCGAGAGGCGACGCTGTTGAGGAGGAGAAATAGGGTGAAGCGGATGGGGCAAGGGAGAGCCGCGAGCGCAACACAGATAGCGAGCACACGCGCACCCGCCGCTGACGGGTCGACGGCCTTACCGGCGCGCGAGAGGGCGTCGACGATGTCGGTGAACTGCCGCTCGTACGCCTCGAACGTCGCCATGGGGGCCGGCGACGGCGCGACGACGACAGATAGTGCGAGGGCTACTTTGCTGCGATGCAGCGACGCGCACGAGCGGGTTGCGAGTGCCGCTGCAGGCCGAGCTGACTAATCCGAGCCCAACAGGACGCCGCGGTCAGCCAGAAACGAGACTCAGCAGGAATCCAGCAGGTATGTAGGCCGTGTCACCACACTTCACTTCGGCGCGGTTCGTACGGTGATTTGCGTTCTAGAGCGGTTCGCTCAAAACCTAAGTAGCGCGGTTCGTAGGGTTCCGAGGGAAAACGTACTCTCACTGAGCTAGGCGCGTCAAGCAAGGTGTCATTCGCAGGAGCGGCGTTTGGCTGATTCCCACCAACTCCGAGGGGTCGGTCGTTCGCTCCGCCTGAAAGGGGGGGGGGGTCGGGTTTGTGCCACTTTTGGGCAGGTCGGCTTCGGTTGGCGACGCACAGAGCGTGGTTCGTTGCTGTAACGAACGAGAGCCTGCGGGCGACTTCCTCCCAAAATGCAACAGCGAAAGGATTTTGTTACAAACCATGCGAAGCTCATCGCACCGTCGTCTCTAAGGGCGTGAAACATACGGTTCTGACTTATGAATTCTGGAACCGAGGTTTGAAAATGCCTAAACAAAACGCCGGACGAGGCTGGAACTTGCAACTCCGAAACCAGGCCTGTCAGAAAAACTGAACTGGTACCTCTGTTCGAATTTTCGAACAGCGACAAGGCTGGCTAAAAAGTCGAAGATCACGAAATCAGGCAACATACCTCACTTCGTTCGACTTCCGCGACCCTTCGAAATGCTCGGCGTGCTGGTTCAGAAGGCGGTTGCGACACATGCGCCTGGGTATTTGTTCCGCATGGATTGCCGTTGGGGGAGCAATGTTGTATACTTTCGCGGCTATCGCGAGGTGCATGGGGTGACAGAGTACGGCTCATCAATTTCGTCAGCGCTACAGTATGGTTGACGAATCGGCTTTGGAGGGGAGGCCGTTCTGACAGCGTTGTTCGGGCGGTCTTGGCTACCGTGGATTCGGTGAAGTATTTGTTTCGCATAAACATGTTTCTCCGAACAGCAGCCAATTCCGGAACCGTATGTTCCACGCCCTAAGTCGCATGTTCGCCAAACTAGAATCTGCATTGCCCATTCCTGGGGCGGACGACACTGTACGATCGAACTGCGTCTCAGTAGGTACCTAAGTGCAGTGGTTCATGTCAGCGGCTTCCTAGATTCAACCACACTGCACCGCACTACACCACTAGTTCAAAGCGTGATCCCGAATAACAGCGAGGTGCCACGGTGCCATTCGACTCGCAGCGCCCGTCGAGATCGCATCGCGCCCTAGCTCCTACCACCGTGCACCCCTCGCGGCGTTATCGCTTCCAGTGCCCCCTGCGCCTCTCCCCACTCGCTTGGCCGCGCTGCACGTACTGCGAGGCGGACGGAGTCGCGGCCACGTAGGCCCCTAGCGGCACGTAGAGGCACGTAGCGGCGCGTAGCGTGGTGGTGGGAGGGCGCGCGGGCGGCGGGCATGGCGGAGGAGGAGGAGCTGGCGATGGGGTCGGACGACGAGGCGGACGCGGAGAGCCCCGAGGAGATCCTCGGCAAGATTCAGGACCGCTCGCAGCGCGTCAACCACTTCCTCTCCGAGTGCGTCACCCTTGCCGCGTCTCGCTCTCGCCGAGTCCCACTTGCCCACTCACTCTCTCTCCCTATAACGCCTCGCTACCCAGTGGGTCAAAACGAGGTTACCCAGAGGCGCAGCGGAATGCGTTTACATTCTCTAGGGTAATTTCCGTCCGCAGACGTTACACTCCCAGCCCCCTCCTCAGCGCGCTCCGCACGGCGCCTCTTGTGCGTCGCCGCGATACGTTTCTGCCCTGCCTTCCCTGCATGCGTTCGCCCCTTTCGCCCTTTGCATGCGCGGCTGTGCGCGACTCTTCCCACGCGTGTCCGTTTGCGTCCATCCCCCTCTCCCCCCCCCTCCTTCCCCCTCTCATCCCCGCGCGTGCGTGCAGGGGTCGCGTGCCGGAGGCCCTCAAGGCGGCCGTGAGTGACCCGCCTATCGCCACGCGCGACCAGACGTGCAAGGTGGGGTGGCAGGGACGCAGGGGGGCGAGGTGGCAGGGACGCATGGGGGCGAGGTGGCAGGGACGCATGGGGGCGAGGTGGCAGGGACGCATGGGGGCGAGGTGGCAGGGACGCATGGGGGCGAGGTGGCAGGGACGCATGGGGGCGAGGTGGCAGGGACGCATGGGGGCGAGGTGGCAGGGACGCATGGGGGCGAGGTGGCAGGGACGCATGGGGGCGAGGTGGCAGGGACGCATGGGGGCGAGGTGGCAGGGACGCATGGGGGCGAGGTGGCAGGGACGCATGGGGGCGAGGTGGCAGGGACGCATGGGGGCGAGGTGGCAGGGACGCATGGGGGCGAGGTGGCAGGGACGCAGGGGGCGAGGTGGCAGGGACGCATGGGGGCGAGGTGGCAGGGACGCATGGGGGCGAGGTGGCAGGGACGCATGGGGGCGAGGTGGCAGGGACGCATGGGGGCGAGGTGGCAGGGACGCATGGGGGCGAGGTGGCAGGGACGCATGGGGGCGAGGTGGCAGGGACGCATGGGGGCGAGGTGGCAGGGACGCATGGGGGCGAGGTGGCAGGGACGCATGGGGGCGAGGTGGCAGGGACGCATGGGGGCGAGGTGGCAGGGACGCATGGGGGCGAGGTGGCAGGGACGCATGGGGGCGAGGTGGCAGGGACGCATGGGGGCGAGGTGGCAGGGACGCATGGGGGCGAGGTGGCAGGGACGCATGGGGGCGAGGTGGCAGGGACGCATGGGGGCGAGGTGGCAGGGACGCATGGGGGCGAGGTGGCAGGGACGCATGGGGGCGAGGTGGCAGGGACGCATGGGGGCGAGGTGGCAGGGACGCATGGGGGCGAGGTGGCAGGGACGCATGGGGGCGAGGTGGCAGGGACGCATGGGGGCGAGGTGGCAGGGACGCATGGGGGCGAGGTGGCAGGGACGCATGGGGGCGAGGTGGCAGGGACGCAGGGGGGCGAGGTGGCAGGGACGCAGGGGGGCGAGGTGGCAGGGACGCATGGGGGCGAGGTGGCAGGGACGCATGGGGGCGAGGTGGCAGGGACGCATGGGGGCGAGGTGGCAGGGACGCATGGGGGCGAGGTGGCAGGGACGCATGGGGGCGAGGTGGCAGGGACGCATGGGGGCGAGGTGGCAGGGACGCATGGGGGCGAGGTGGCAGGGACGCATGGGGGCGAGGTGGCAGGGACGCATGGGGGCGAGGTGGCAGGGCAGGGACGCAGGGGGGCGAGGTGGCAGGGACGCAGGGGGGCGAGGTGGCAGGGACGCATGGGGGCGAGGTGGCAGGGACGCATGGGGGCGAGGTGGCAGGGACGCATGGGGGCGAGGTGGCAGGGACGCATGGGGCGAGGTGGCAGGGACGCATGGGGGCGAGGTGGCAGGGACGCATGGGGGCGAGGTGGCAGGGACGCATGGGGGCGAGGTGGCAGGGACGCATGGGGGCGAGGTGGCAGGGACGCATGGGGGCGAGGTGGCAGGGACGCATGGGGGCGAGGTGGCAGGGACGCATGGGGGCGAGGTGGCAGGGACGCATGGGGGCGAGGTGGCAGGGACGCATGGGGGCGAGGTGGCAGGGACGCATGGGGGCGAGGTGGCAGGGACGCATGGGGGCGAGGTGGCAGGGACGCATGGGGGCGAGGTGGCAGGGACGCATGGGGGCGAGGTGGCAGGGACGCATGGGGGCGAGGTGGCAGGGACGCATGGGGGCGAGGTGGCAGGGACGCATGGGGGCGAGGTGGCAGGGACGCATGGGGCGAGGTGGCAGGGACGCATGGGGGCGAGGTGACAGGGACGCATGGGGGCGAGGTGGCAGGGACGCATGGGGGCGAGGTGGCAGGGACGCATGGGGGCGAGGTGGCAGGGACGCATGGGGGCGAGGTGGGAGGGATGAGAGGCGAGGTGGGAGGGATGAGAGGCGAGGTGGGAGGGATGAGAGGCATGCATAGTAGTGTATTCAAACGAAGTAATAGGATGGGTGGCTTGAATGTAAGGGTGGCTTGAATGTAAGGGTGGCTAGACTTTTCGTGGTGAAGTGTGCTCGCACTCCTGTCCCTTCCTCACCCCCTCTCACCCAATTCGCTCCCCTCTCACCCAATTCGCTCCCCTCTCACCCAATTCGCTCCCCTCTCACCCAATTCGCTCCCCTCTCACCCAATTCGCTCCCCTCTCACCCAATTCGCTCCCCTCTCACCCAATTCGCTCCCCTCTCACCCAATTCGCTCCCCTCTCACCCAATTCGCTCCCCTCTCACCCAATTCGCTCCCCTCTCACCCAATTCGCTCCCCTCTCACCCAATTCGCTCCCCTCTCACCCAATTCGCTCCCCTCTCACCCAATTCGCTCCCCGCTCATCTCCAGCAACCAAACCCCCCCTCTACACTTTCCGCAGCTGGCAGCAGTACTTCCCTTGATATACCTGCATCCCACTTCCCTTGATATACCTGCATCCCACTTCCCTTGATATACCTGCATCCCACTTCCCTTGATATACCTGCATCCCACTTCCCTCGCGGTGTGAGTGGATCCTCTTCTCTCACCCCCTCTGCAGGACGCCAACTGGGCAGTGGTACAGCGCGCGCTGGAGGCGGTGGAGGACGTGGATGGGGCGATAGCGGGGCTCAAGTCGGAGGGGTGCGACACACTCATGCGGTGAGAGGGGTGCGACACACTCATGTGGTGAGAGGGGTGCGGCACAGTCATGTGGTGAGAGGGGTGCGACAGACTCATGCGGTGAGAGGGGTGCGGCACAGTCATGTGGTGAGAGGGGTGCGACACACTCATGCGGTGAGAGGGGTGCGGCACAGTCATGTGGTGAGAGGGGTGCGACACACTCATGTGGTGAGAGGGGTGGAGGTGGTGCACTTTTGAGCTTGGGCTTGACTAGCATGCGATCGCATGATACTTTTTTCGCTAAATATGCGTTGCATTGAGTTTCCATGTTACTGCAAAATGGTGATGCGGTGAGAGGGGTGCAAAAAGCTGATGCGATGGGACGGGTGCGCCCCACTGACAGCACCCACATTTCCCGTTTTCCGTCCTCCCCAACTCCCTCTCATGCCTCTCTCCCCGTATCTCTTGCCCCTTCTCTCCCTCGGTCCTTTCTACCCGTTCGCATCTTTTTTCCTCTGCCCCCTTCCACCCTTGTCCTCCCTCTGCCTTTCGTTCCTTAGCTCCTGTCATCCTTTATTTCCTCTCTTCTTATCGCGACCCCTTCCTCACCCCTTACTTCCACCGTCCTCCCACTCGCCGTCTGCGAATAATCAGAGAGAGGATACGAACAGTGAGCTGCCACTTGCATGGCGGCACCTCGCCTCCATTACCCCCTGCACCCCCGTGCTCATTGCAGAAGCACTGCACCTCTATTCCTGGTCTGCTGCTTACCTTGCCGCGGCCGTCCCTGCCTGCAGGTACCTGTACCGCGCGCTGCGGACGGGCGAGGCGGCGCTGTGTGCGCGGGCGCTGCGGGTGCACGAGAAGCTGACGGAGAAGGCGGGGCTGGGCTGCATCATGCGCGTCATGGCGGACCGCAAGCACACTGTGTAGCGCGTAGCGCACGCAGGTGCTTGAGAATGCATGGGTTGCTGTGATGCGGTATCATGGTGTCAAACATATTTGTATATGTTACTATAGCCTAGATAGGGGCATGCCTTAGAGAGTACAGCTCATTAGGTCAAGACCACCCTGTACCCTTGTTGCTAGTTCATTCCGCTACTCTGAGATGGTATCAGCTTAGGTTAGGTCCGCCCACCAGCTTCCTCCCTAGCCCCAGCCTTCCGGCCCCGCTGTTCACTTAGCGCCTCGCTGCCCCACCCCCCCCCCCCCCCCCTCTTAGCGCCCCGCAGGCCTTAACGCCCCGCTGGCCTTAGCGACCCACTGGCCTTAGCGCCCCGCTGGCCGTTTCCGCGCCCCGCTGGTCTCTTCGCGCCTCGCCAGCCCGTTCGCGTCCCGCTGGCCCTTACGCGCCCCACCAGCCCTTCGCGCCCCGCCAGGCCCTTTCGCGCCCCGCTGGCCCTTCTCGCCCCATAGCCTTTCGCGCCTCGTCGTCCGTTGCGCGCCCCACCGGCCCCCTCGTGCCCCGCTGGCCGTTTCGCGCCCCGCCAGCCCTATCACGCTCCGCTGGCCCTTCGCGCCCCGTCAGCCCTTACGCGCCCCGCTGGCCCTTTGCGCCCCGCCAGCCCCTTCGCACCCCTGCTGGCCCCTTGCCCCACCGGCCCTTACGCGCCCCTGCTGGCCCGTTGCGCCCGGCCGGCCCTTCCGCGAGCCGCTGGCCCTGTGCGCCCCGCCCGCCCTTACGCGCCCCTGCTGGACCTCTGCGCCCCGCCAGCCCTTCCGCGCCCCGCTGGCCCTTCGCGCCTCCACCAGTCAGTGCGCCCCGCTTGCCTCGGTCGAGCTCGCCCTCGTTCCTGCCATGGAGCCGTGCCGCCGTGCCGACGAGTCGCCGTGCCTCCGTGTCGTCGTGCCGTCGTGCTGCTGTGCCGTCGTGTTGCTGTGCCGCCGTGCCGCTGTGGCGTCGTGGCGTCGTTGAGCCGTGCCGCTATCCCGCCGTGCCGCCGTCCCACCGGGTAGCTGAGGTCGTGCGACGGCGGACTCTGTGCTCCGCCTGGACGAGGAGGGGCACGCGCCCGACTTCGACGCCTGGCTTGTCGATCTACGCCATCACCTGTCAGGTCAGCGCCAAGATGGTCACTCCTTGGCTGTGCATGTCGATGCTTGCTTCCCCGCCCCTCCGTGCCTGATCCTGTCCCTGCTGACCCCACCATTGCTCTGCGTGAGGCCTTTTCTGCTGCTGCGCTTGCTCGCGTTGTCTCGATGCCCTAGCGCAGCTTGCCATTAGTCATGCCCTTCCCCTGTCTGAGCGTCTGCGCTTTACTGCTGTCACGAACGCCAAGGAATTCTTAGATGTCGTAGTTGCGCGCTACTCCATGCCCGCCTCCGCCTCTGCTGGCCGCCTGATCCTCCCCATATTGTTCCCTGATCTCGCCGCCTTCCCCACTGTTGCTAACCTAGCCACTCACCTCCATGCACTAGAGGCTAGCTACCGTGCCACTAGCACGGAGGCCCAGCTTACTGCCTTCCCCCCGCAGCTCTGCGCTACCCTGTACCTCATTGCCACGTGCCTTCCGGACCGCTTAGCCACTGCCCGCGACCACTTCCTTAGTCAACACCCAGGTGACCTTACTCTTACCACCTTTGTCACCGCTCTGTCTGAGATAGAGACCCGCCAGCGCACTATCGCTCAGTCGAGCGGTACTGCGGCACTCCAAATCTTTCACGGTTGTGCGCCCTCTTAGTGCATTTACGCTGGCTGTCGCCGTGAAAGCCCCTGCCACTGAGACCGCAACTGCGGCCTCGGCGCAGTCGCGCCAGCGTCAGGGCCGTCGCCCCAAGGGGGAGCGTGGTCGTGGGGGTGGTGGAGGTAGGGGCGGAGACTGTGGGTGTGACGAGGGGACCGGGGCTGGTGCCCAGGAGGAGCAGGAGCAGCAGCAGCCTCCACAGCAGCAGCAGCCTCAGAAGCAGCAGTCCCAGCAGCAGCAGCAGCAGTCGTGGGGCCACCACCCGCCGGAGTGGCCCGGTGCCTCTGGTGGTGGTGGTCGCGTTGGTGTCTCTCGCAGCTTGGCGTCGGGCGGCAGCTTCGGCGCTGGGGGCTGCCAGTACCAGCTCCAGACCGGCCCCCTCCGCGGCACTATGTGTGGTTGCCCACACCATACCGCCCGCTGCTTCCGCCGCCTCGACGACCTCTTTCGTCGTCGCTTCGGCCTCGTGCCGGACCTCCCTGACTGGGACAGTCTGGTGCGCCACGACGTGCTTGTCTTTGAGTTAGATATGGATCAGATTTGTTCTGCTCTGCATTCCCTGTATGCTGATGCCTCTAGTGTGCCCGGACCTTATTACCCTGTGTTGCCTAGTGTAGGTGTGCCTCCTGTGAGTAGAACAGACTCCCCTGCTGCGTCAGGCGTAAGACCTTCTGCCTTGTTTAGTTTCGGCTCCAAGCTCGCTCCTCCGCCGGCCGCAGCTACCGCTTTGCTCTCCTTGACGCTTGACTCTGGCGCGTCTGCCTGCTTCTTCTGCAACCACGCTGCGCTCACGCCGCTTGCTGCGCCTGCCGTTGTCACGCTTGCTGACCCCTCCTCCAGTCCTGTCGTTGCCCATAGCTCCACTACCCTTCCATGTCCGGCGTTTTCCTCGGGTTCTCTTACAGGCCTGCACATCCCTTCGTTCTCCAGGAACCTAGCTGGTGTCGGCTCTCTTCACGAACTCGACGTCACCAATACATTCCCTGGTCACGAGCGGTACGCTGTCTGTACTGAGGCCGCCTCAGGTGCCTCCCTTGTGATTCTCCCCCTGAATCCGGTGTCTGGCCTGTTTACGCTGGACACTGCGTCCCCCCGGTTCCTACGTCCACCCAGGTCGCTGCAGCTTGCTTGTGCCGGTCGCTCACTAACCCGTCGCTACTATGGTACTTCCGCGTCCGCGTCACATGTCCCACCATGGTCTTGTCTTAGGTCTCCCTGCGTCCCTTCCTTCTCTCCCTCCCTCGTCCGCGCCTCCATGCACCCCTTCCGTTGAGGGCCGGCTGCGCCATGCCCCTCACTCCTCCTCATTTCCCCCACCACTGTGCGCCTGCAGTCCCTGCACATGGACGTCTGGGGCCTAGCCCCCGTCCTTGGGCCGCGTCGCGAGCGCTACTTTCTGGTCCTAGTCGACGACCACACGCGCTACACCAAGGTTCCCCTAGATCGGAAGGCCGACATGCCTGGCATTCTTATCTCATGGGTCGTAGCTGTGAGAGTCCACCGTCATCTCCGTGTCTTGCGTCTCCACTCCGACCGTGGCAGTGAGTTCGCCTCCGGCCAGCATGGCGAGTTCTGTCGTGCGGAGGGCATCACCCAGTCGTACACCCTGTCGGACTCTCTACAGCAGAATGGGGTCGATGAACGCCACATCGGCTTGGTCATTGAGGTGGCTCGTACCTCCATGATCCATGCCGGTGCTGTAAGAAATAGAGTTGAAATGATTGATTAGGTAAGGAGCCCAAGGCTCTATAAGTACATGGCAAGGTGAGAGAGAATGGATGAAGGGGGAATTGGAGGGAATCCCCATTGGGATCTCCGGAATCTCCAATTGGGTAATTGGAGATTGGGGGGATCACAATTGGGTGAGGTTGGGATTTGTGAGTACACCCCAACCCACTAGAACATTCACAACCTAAACTAGGATATAAAAGTACAAATACAAAAGTGGTATTTGCAGTCTATTTCTAACACACCCCCATAGACTGCAAAACCCGGTCAAGGAGCACATAGCCCCATGGAACGGAGAAGGCGATGGTGGTCAGCCTTGCCGAGAGCCTTGGTAAAGAGGTCGGCGAGGTTACAATCTGAGGCGATGTACCGTACCGTCAGCTGGTCACTCTGAACAAGATCTCGGATGAAGAAATGACAAAGTTCGATGTGCTTGGTGCGAGAGTGGAACACAGGATCCTTGGTGAGGTGAATGGCACTCTGGTTGTCACACCACAGGGTGGGCGACTGCTGGGGGTAGCCTAACTCAGCGAGGAGAAAGGAGAGTCAGCGTGCCTCTTGAGCAGCCATTGTGCCCGCGTAGAGCTCGGCCTCGCAGGACGACAGGGAGACTGCAGAGGACCGAGTGGAGCGCCAGCTGATGACTCCGCTACCAGGGGTGAAGTAGTACCCTTGGGAGGAGTGTCTGTCAGTATGGTCATCGGCCCATGAGGAGTCTGTGTATCCCTCGAGCTTGACTGGAGAGGTACCACCAAGAGTGAGGATGTGAGACTTGGTGGCTTGTAGATAGCGGAGGACCCTCTTGGCTGCAGACCAATGCGAGGCAATGTAGCGTCCGGGGGAGACGTACCGAGAGAGGACACTAACCGAAAAACCAAGTCTGGTCAAGTGCACATCATGGCATACATGAGTGAACCGACTAGCTTAGGGTACGGGTCCTTGCAGGCGTCAGGAGAAGGAACTGGAGGGGCCGTGAGCTGATGCTGTAGTGGGAGTGGAGTGGAGACAGAGTTACTGGAGTCCATGTCGAACCGCTTGAGAAGGTTGTCGATGTAGGACTCCTGGGAGAGGGTGATCGTGCAAGCCTGGCGGTCACGAGTGATCTCCATCCCCAGGTAGTTCTTGAGGTCACCAAGATCCTTCATGAGAAGGGCGGAGCTGAGAGCAGACTGGACAGCTGCCATGTCGGCTGGATCTCTGGCGGCTAGAATGAAGTCGTCGACGTAGACGAGGATGTAGAAGGGCTCGGAGGAGTGACAAACGAAGAGACTGGAATCTGAGGCAGAGGGATGGAAGTCAAGTGCGAGGAGGACTTCCTTCACCTTGTTGTGCCACTCACGAGGAGCCTGCTTGAGGCCATACACTGGGCGCTTCAGCTTCCACACTGTGTTGGCAGGGTAAGTGCCAGGAAACCCCGGTGGGCGTTCCATGTGAACATCCTCCTTGAGCTGGCCTTGGAGAAAGACGGAGGAGGCGTCCATGGACTTGATCTCGAAGTTGCCGCGAGCGGCTATATCAAGAAGAGCGCGCACAGTCGGGAGCTTGGCCGTGGGCGAGAATGTTTCGAAGAAGTCGAGATACTCCTTCTGGGTGAAACCCTTCGCCATGTATCGTGCCTTGAACAGTGGAGCTTCGCTTGGGAGTTGTTTGACTCGGAGGATCAATTTTCCGCCGACGATGTTGACA